ATTCTTTTTGGTACAGTGACTCTGTGTATTCCTTCCATCTTCTTTTTGATGTTTCCTGTATCATTCAATATTTTGCCCATAGACTCTTTCAATATTGCAACTTAAGGCTTGAATTTTTTCCTCAGTTCTTTCAGCTTGAGAAATGCTGAGCATGTTCTTCTCTTTTGGTTTTCTAACTCCAGGTCTTTGCACATTTCATTGTAATAACTGACTTTGTCTTCTAGAGCTGCTCTTTCAAATCTTCTGTTCAGCTCTATTATCTTGTCAATTCTTCCATTTGCTTTAGCTACTCTCCGTTCAAGAGCAAGTTCCAGAGTCTCTTCTGACATCCATTTTGGTATTTTCTTCTTTCTCTTTCTTGTTAATGACCTTTTGCTTTCTTCATGTATGATGTTCTTGATGTCATCCCACAATTCATCTGGTTTTCAGTCATTGGTACTCAATGCGTAAAATCTATTCTTTAGATGGTCTCTAAACTCAGGTGGGATATAATCAAGGTCATATGTTAGCTGTAGTGGACTAGTTTTAAGTGTCTTCAGCTTCAACTTGAATTTGCATACAAGCAGTTGATGGTCTGTTCCACAATCGGCTCCTGGCCTTGTTTGGGCTAAAGATACTGAGCTTTTCCATCACCTCTTTCCACAGACGTAGTCAATCTGACTCCTGTGTATTCTACCTGGTGAAGTCCCTGTGTATAGTCACCATTTATGTTGTTGAAAAAAGGTTATCTGCAATGACTAAGTCATTGGTCTTGCAAAATTCTATCATGTGATCTGCAGTGTCATTTCTATCACCAGGGGAAGACAGACGCCAAGAAACACCCAAGGCTACGGACAAGGAAGGATGCTCCGCTAGCGCCAATGCTGCGCCTTGGACTTTTAGCCTCTAAAACCGTGAAATAGTCCCGTATTTTCCAGCTACTGGTGACTCTTCTTTGTTTCTAATTTTTGCATTCCAGTCACCAGTAATAACCAACATATCTTGATTGCATGTTTGGTCAATTTCAAACTGCGAAGTTGGTAAAATCTTCAATGTCCTCGTCTTTGGGTTTGTTTTGTTAGGTGTTGCCAAATGGATGGCACAGAAGTTGTACGAGTTCACACTCCCACACAATCTGGGGGTCTGCCTGCTCCCCCCTGGCCTCACTCATGTGTCTGAGTCACCTGGTGCTGCTGGAGCACAGACACCACCCATGGGTGGCTGTCAAGGACAGGAACGTACTATTTCGTGGTTTTAGAGGCTAAAAGTCCAAGGCAGAGCATTGGCCCTAGGGGAGCATCCCCCCTGGTCCGTAGCCCTGGGTGTTTCTTGAATCTGTCTTCCCCTGTGTGAGTCTGTTTTGCGTTTTTAGAAGTGTTTATCTTCAGGACGTACACTGACCTTTAACATAACAAAAGAAAACCCCTATGTCCAAGCAGGGATGTTCCTGGCACAGGGGGTAGGACTTCCTGGGTCTTCTGGGGAACACAGTTCAATCCATAACAGCTATCAGTCAGACTCCGATGTTTGCCAACTCATGGGGGAAATGGTTTGATTTGTGTTTTTATTAGCAGGGAGGCTAAAAGCTATTATTCATGGTGTCTATTTCCTTTTCAGTGAATGGTCAAGTTCATAATTTGCCCAAATATTGATCAGGTTAATTTGTGGAGGCTCTTTATATCTTAAGAGCATGAGCTGTCTGTTTTAGGTTGGTTCCCGGGAAGCAGACTCTGCAGTGGAGACTGACCAGGGGGTGGTCTTGGGGACCACACCTCAAGAGAAGTGACAGAGAAGCTAAATGCTGATCCACAAAAAGCACCAGAGAAGTTGGTACCAGGGAGTGGGGCACTGCTCAGATAAATACCTAAAATGCAGGAGTGGCTTTTCAATTTGAAGACATGATCAGTTACCATGAGGTTATCCTAAAGGAGGGTGGGTCCAGTCCAATATGACTGGTCTCATTATAAAGACAGGAAGAGACACAGACACAAACAGAGGAAGGATGGCTGTGTGAAGACTGAGACAGAGATGGAGAGATGCCACCATAAGCCAGGGAACACATGAGGCCATCAGAAGCTGGCAGGGACGAGGAGGGATCTTCTCCAAAAGCTCCAAAGGAAGGATGGCCCGACCGACACAATGATTTGGACTCCCAGCTCCCAGACCTGGCAGATAGTGCATTTCTGTTCTTAAGGTACCCAGTGTGAGGTACTGTTATGGTAGCCCTGAGAAACAAAGACACTGCCCTCTTGAACAGAGAGTACCCCTACTACGAGCCCTGGCAACCTGTTAAAGGGGTGAGGCGGAACTGAGGGCAGAGGCAACCAAGAGACCCCAGCTCTGCCCACCACCACCCCGCTTAGCACCGTGCAGCACCCCCTCCCCCCACCGCAGCCCCACAATGGCCACTCACCTGAAGGTTGCTGTTGATGCGCTGAGCTCCACACCTGTTGGCTTGCAAATCACATTTTGAAAAACAGTCAAAGAAACTGCAGTCTTCGTCTCCTGTGCAGTTTTGCTCAAGAATTTCCCTCATTTTAGGTTCAAAAAAGGCCATGTCCACATCAATCGCCACCACCTGTAATCAAAGCAGCAAGCACGTGGCTACCCAAATGGCACAGGGGCCTCGCTGTTGAGTGGACTGACCCTGCTCCTTCTTCGCCCATCAATACAGCAGCTGTTGTCAAAGTGCTGGCTCAATGGGTCAGTGCTCAGCTGCTAACCGGAAGGGCAGCTGTTTGAAACCACTAGGCTTTCCACAAGAGAAAAGTGTGGCATTCTGCTTCTGTAAAGATTACATCGTTGGAGACCCTGTGGGACAATTCCACTCTGTCCTTTAGGAGTGCTATGTTGGAATCTACTCACTGGCACCCAACAACACAACTCTGCTAGCAGAGAGCAAAGAGCCCATGTCAGGCCCTGGAGAATGTCTTGATTCCTCAAAAATGTGTAAATTTATTTTTCCTTTTGTAAGCAGCTGCCAGAGCTCAGACTGCAAAGCTTACTGCAGAAGAACCTCTGCTGTCACTCTTTTAAGGCCCAGGGTGTGGCACTATGAGAGAAGTGTCATTTCTCATCTTTAAACACTTTCTCAGCTTTACAAACAGAATCACTGTAATGTTCTAACAATGACTGCCCTTCCGTTCTGTTACGCCTTCGGTCTCTGTCCTTCAAGAATCAGGATTATAAAGTCTGGGGTGCAGATCATCCCACCCCATAAAGGTCAGCAACAAAAGGAAACTGAGCTCCAGAGGCAGGTCAAAGGGTTTCATGAAGGGGAAAACGAGCTGGGACACGGCCACATCTGGCTGAGCTGAGCAGCGGTCATCCTGGGAAGGACGTCCTCCTTCAGCACCTGGGTCCCCAGGTCTTACCTCACTGAGCATCAGTGGCCATTAATCCTCACACTTGGGTTTTTCTTTAAAGAGCATTAAGAAGTACCTTTGTACTCAAGCTGCTATTGAAACTGTTCTTTGACTAAAACACATAGAACCAGGTAAGGTAACTGAGGTCTGTTTATGGCCCGTTACCTGAACCAGCAGTGCAAACGTGGGGGCAAAAGTGGAGTCGGGACCTTGAACGAGGGTTGATGTATATGGCCCTTACCCCAACAGTATCCACTACTAAATTCCATGTCAGCATAAGAACTTGCTGACCCCCCAGAATTTCAGATTTATCTCCCTGGCTCCCCACCAAAAAAGACTTCAACACCAGAAAAATCATTGTCTCTAGATTACTCAGATTTTCCTGCACCACCTGGATAAAATAAATAAATTTTTAAAGAGGGGATGAGCTCACCCCACGCAAACCTGGAGTCTGCCCAAATCAGGCAGTTTGTAGCTTCAAGGGACAGCACTCTGGGGCAGCCTGAGTGTGACGGGCTGCAGCTACTCCACAAGGCCTCACAGGTCAGCAGCCCCTCCCCTGCCTTGGGTGGCACCTCAGAAAGGGCGCTCTGTCAGCGCACATCCTCCCAGCTCTACGTGACGTCAGGAGGCAAGTTCTCTCCTTTCATTCTTGTTTTTCATTCCAGATCGAAACCAACATTTCTTGGGGATTATTCAGTAAAACAGAGCAGGGAAAATAAGTTATGTAAAAGTATGTGGAGCAGAATGAAAATGAAGGACACAGAATGGAAACACCACCCCACTTAAGGGTTTGTCTAATTACTAACTCAGGCACTGCAAGCACAACTGACCGTTTGAATCAATCTTTCCTAGCTCATGATGAAGCCAGAATAAATCGGCAAGCTAGTAATCTACCAGGCAATACGCTCAAAACGGAGGCAGAGCAGGCTCTTCTGGGGGGCTGGCTCCTGTCTTCTTAGTTTATTAGGGAGGCTCTAAGGCCCTGGAAATTGCCCCACTCTCCTGGGGAGTGAGCTCCAGGCGACCTCTCGGCCTCCTTGCTATTTCCTCCTCTCCTCCCAGGGGAAGCCAAGGTACACGGCTTCATGCTTAGTGTCTGACCAAGAACCGAGCACAAGCGTTACACTTGTAACCCTGTGCTCCAGAGACAGCACAGTACCAAACCAACACGCGTGAGACTTCCCAAAGAACACTGGGGCTGGCGCATTCCTCAGCAGGGGGTGCTACCTTGCACCTTCTTCTCCACACTCCGCGGGGATCAGAAGAGACAGGGTCTGTCAGAATCAGTCCCTTCTCCACAGAAGGACAGGCGGGGCCACTGGCCATCCATAGGCTGAACACCAACTGAGCCGGCCTTGAGAGTGTCCCGAGGGTCGTAAATGAACTAGGAAACAGCGCCACTTCATGTCCCCGAAGTGGCGCCAGGGGGTGCTCCGAAGACCCCAGCCCAGTGTGTGGGTCTCCCCAGAACCTCAGGCTCATTCTCCCACACTTGGAGCACCCCTGACTGTCAGCACCTGGAGCAGTGTCGGGACTCAGGGAGGTGCAGCTGTGGCAAAGGGTTGACCAGAGCGGGGCTGACACCATCACAAACTCCATCTTCCAGGTGGCAGGCTGCTTTATGAAGGCACTGTCACCCAGGCCCCACAGCTGGCAGTGACAGTGCTTGCTTCCTGCTCCCTTATGTCTCCAATCGCAGAGGACAGCACCGTTCACCACTTGCCTGTCCCCACGGTGCAGGGCAGGCTGAAGGGACCAGAGCACAGCTCCCACCCTAGCCCTGGCCACACGGTGTGTCACCACCTCTCCTGTCGCCACCTCCCTCGAGGTGTCCCCAGCATCATACTCGTTTGCCCCTCTGAGCGCTGACACCAGCCTCAGGGCACCCAGGTCACTGAAGCCTTCATTTGACATGCTGGTTTTATCTTGGGGGAAAGGGCCAGGATTATTTTATAATAAAATGCCCAAGTCTTTCTTTCCGGCTGATGCGAACAGTTAACATGTTAGGCTGCTAAGCAAAAGGTTTGTGGTTCAAGTCCATGCGGCAGTTTTGTGGAAGGCCCAGGCAACCTAATTCCAAAAGACTCAGCCAAGAAAACCCTACAGAGCAGCTTCACTCTGTAACTCACGGGATGGGCCAGAGTCGGAACAACCGGACAGCGCTGGTTCTGGTTCTGGTTTTTGGAGTGATGCAGATGGTCAACGCACCTGGCTGCTAACTGAACGGCTGGCAGGTGGAGTCCACCAAGAGGCACCCATAAGAAAAGCCCAGTGATCCACTTCTGACAAACCAGCACGACAAAGCCTCTGGAGTCCCGAGCAGGAGCCAACCGGACAACCCCATTGTTTTGGTTTTTTTTTTTTTTGAAGTCTGTCTTCTGTTGTCCCCCACTCTGTGTCCCCCACGCGGGGGTGGGGGGCAACGTTCAGCTGACTCCTACAGGTGACACCTCGGTGATAGCATCTTCATGGAGTTGGGGGTGTTGTGCCCTGGGGAAGCACCAAAGCCTCCGTCCCTCTAGAAGTCTCATGCAGGGAGTGGCGATGAGCCAGACCCTCTCCGGAAGGGTCGGGAGGAGGGGGCTGTTTCCTGGAGCCGGTACAGCCTGGGCAGAGTCCACTCTGGAGCCTCTGTGAACTGCTGCGTCCATCCCTCTCATTATTCCGGCTGCAAGCCTCCAACCCCGGCGGAAACTATGCCCCTGAAGGCCTCTTTCGGCACTCTGCAGTTAAGCTGACCAGAGAGCTGCCTTTGAACGTGCAGGACATGCCCACCCAGCTCCCAGTGGACAGAGGAGCCCCCCGGCTCCTTTTATCCAAACCCTGAGGCCTCTGGGTGGCAGGGGATGGATGGGTTCCCTAAGTCCAGTACTCATACCCCAAAAGGCAGGTGGGTAGATGGGGTTGTCTGGGGCTGGCAGTTCCAAAGCCAGTATTCCAGGTCCCCCTGACCACCTCAGACCCAGGCCCTGCCCTCCCCCCGATGCCTCCCAGGTCTCACCGTGAAGTCACTCCGGATGGCAAAGTTCTCAGGCTTCACGTCGCAGAGGTGCAGGCGGTGCGCAAAGTCGTGCTCAAAGTGGTGCACCATGTCCAGGAAGCTGAGCGCGATGCTGCCCACAGCCGAGGCCCAGCCACCGTGGACCCCAGCCGCCGGGCCCAGCGGGAAGAGTGCCTGCAGGTGCGCACTGCCAGCCGCCAGCAGCTCCACGGCATAGAAATGGCCGCAGGAGCCCAGCACGGGCAGCACGTGGCGGCTCAGGCCGCGCAGCAAGCTCAGGTAGATGAACTCCTCCTGCTGCAGCAGCGCCCACAGGCTGGCCACCTGCCCACGCCAGCCCGGGCCCCGGCGGCCCGGCCACAGCCGTCCCAGGCTGCCATTGGCCAGCTCCAGGCCCAGGGCGCTCTTGACCTCGCCGGCCACAAGCAACAGCAGCTCGGCCTCCAGGAAGCCCTGGTCCCCGTCGGCCGCCGCCTCCTCCAGCAGGCCTAGGGGCTGGAAGCTGGAGAAGGCCTCCTTCTTGGACTTGAGGATGACGGGCCGGCCCCGCCAGTCCGCCTGCAGGACCTTCTTGCCCCGCTCATAGTACAGGCAGCGCTGGTACACCAGGTCGCCGGCCACACACAGGTCTTCACACAGGTCACCCACGAGCGCACCACCCTGGTAGTCCCGGCACTGCAAGGAAGGAACACTCAGTTACAACTTGGGAGGGGACAGGCTTGATCCCCACCCTGGGAAGCTGACCCTCCACTGGGCCCAGAAACCAAGTGTGACTAGCAGAGCCCTGCAGGTGAGGGAAGAGTTAAGTGAAGGAGCTAAAGAGCCCGGGCTGAGGCACGGTTTGCGCTCAACTGCTGGAGCTTGGTGGTTTGAACCCACCCAGTGGTGTGCTGCAGCAGCTAGGAAACCGCCTGGAGCAGGCCTGCTCTCTGACACACGGGTCGCACCAAGTCGTCATCCACTGCATGGCAATGCTCTGTCCTCTTGGGTTTTCTGCTGATCACTTTTCTCAATGAGGCCCAGGAACATGTTTTCAGAAGCCCCTCTTCTTTCATCCAGCTGTGGGCCCTGAACAAGCCTTCTTCCACCAGGATTCACCTCCTCACCCTCAACCAAAGGGCTGGGCTGGGCAAGGGTAGATTACCCAATTAGCAGAGCAAGCAAGGGCTTACTTGTGCTTACTTACTAATTCTGTAAAGTGTTAAAATTTAAAAAGCAAAGATGTCACTTTTGAGGACTAAGGTGCAGCTGACCCAAGCCGTGGTATTTTCAATTGCCTCCTATACATGCAAAAGCTAGGCAGTGAGTAAGGTAGACCGAAGAAGAATCAATGCCTTTGAATTAAGGTGTTGGTGAAGAATACTGAATATACCAGGGGCTGCCAGAAAAACAAACAAATCTGTCTTGGAAGAAGTACAGCAGAATGCTCCTTAAAGCAAGGATGCAGAGACGTCATCTCACAGACTTTGGACATGTCTTCAGGAGGGACCAATCCCTGGAGAAGGACATCATGCTTGATAGAGGGTCAGCATAAAAGACGACCCTCGAGAAGATGGACTGACCCCGTGGCTGCAGCAGTGGGCTCCGCAGAGCAAGGGTTGTGAGGGTGGCATAGACTGGGCAGTTCTGTTACGGTGCATGGTTGCTGAGTCAGAACCAATGTCAGCAACACTGAACGTTCGCACAATGTTTTTCACCACATCGGGAGGCAAACTCATGTGAAATTGTCCACTATGGATTAGTAAGTAAGCACAGCTAAGTCCATGCTTACCTTGCTTACTGGGTACTCCATCCCCATCAGGGATTATAAATTTGAAAAGAGG